AAATCATGATTATCAATAGCATGAAGCTCAGAGGATATAGGTTAAAGGATATGAAGATGAATTTTTGTTTTCCATTTGACTGTTAAACAAAAAAAAAGTATACAGTAGATATTAAGTGTTTTGCTATCCCTTTGAGGTCTCCTTCATGTAATTACATGTTTTTGCCTCAGATGTACTATCACTAGAAAAGGGTGATTTATGAGGCAGAGTACAGAATCCATTGAAAAATGTCTCAGATTCTCTGGCCATTGTCTGTCCTGTTCTCTCAAGCTGTGTGTGGGTGCAGCTTTAATAACCTTGGAGAATAAATAACATTGCCAATTGCAAAATTGGAACGTGTAGAAGTTGGCTGATAACTATATTACAGATGAACCTCAAAGTGGTGGGTGTGTCCTGTAGGTCTGAAGGTGTGGTGTCCTTTTAGTTAGAAACTGGAAAAAAAAAAAAAAAACTTGTGAAGAAATTTAGTTTTATTTAGGTTACAGTGGTTATAATCTTTTGACGTTCAATCTTACATTCTTTTCTTTCTAGAAGATTGAAACTTTGACTCCAAGGGCATTTTTTTTTTAAATGAAATAAGTCTATATAGACTCCTTTTGTTCAGTTTTTTTTTCCTCAGAAAATCATATTAATTTACTTGAGTAGTGTCAATTGTCTAAAATGGATCTAAAAGTAAAAGTTACATTGGTAGCATGAATGTTTCTTAGTGGAAGGGTGTTTTGATCATAAAAATCTATGGGTAAAATAGCATTTCGTCTAAAAGAATAATCCTGGAAGATTATCCCGGCCTATTAATTGCCCTTACTGATACTGATAGCACTTCCCTGGTGGCTCAGATGTTAAAGAACCTGTCTGCAGTGAAGGAGACTGGAGTTTGATCCCTGGGTTGGGAAGATCCCTGGAGAAGGGAATGGCTAGCCTCTCCGGTGCTCTTGCCTGGAGAATCCCGTGGACAGAGGAGCCTGGTGGGCTACAGTCCATGGGGTGGCAAAGAGTCGGACACGATTGAGCAACTAACACTTTCACTTCACTTTCAATATCTTAGAAGCTATTTCTTCATATTTTCTAACTGAATATTGAAATAATGCTGCTGTGTGTATGTGAGAAAGCTGAAGTGAGAGGGGGAATGTGTATGTGTGTGTGTGTGTGCCTTGTATTTGCTGACCCAGCCCGTGGGAGAATATCTCGCTTTGTTCCGTGAGTACGTTGACTACCCCACCCTTACCCTACATTAGACTTTTACTGTCAGAAGCAAATGGGCTGCACCACAGATATTCATGTAAATATTATGCAGGTTCCTATTTGAATGGCTTGAACAGGAAGAACATGCTTCCTGCTCTAGGCTGTCAGCATGTGTTAGACTCATTGATGTGAGCCAATCTTGTGCTGTAAGTAAGTCTCTCTCTTCTGAACTTTCTCTTTCTTGCATTTAGTCAGTTTCTTGATTTTCCTTGGTTTTAAGATATATCCAGTAAATTATCTTTTTTTATAATCTGGCTAGATCCTGCAGTTGTTGTGTGTGTTAGATTCTCCTGTGGGCTCAGGAAATTGGTTTGAATAGGGGCGCCTTTTGAAACTGGAAGAAAAGAGCATAATTGTAGAAAGTGTTTGCTGAGTTATTTTTCACCCCCCGGTTCACATACACAGACACCCTGAGGAGCTATGTCTCCAACTTGCATTAACTATAACTCTACATTTGGAAAAATAAAAATCTCCTTCTTCTGTCTCTCTCTTCTTCTAAGGAGGAAAAAATGTTAGCTGAATATATGAAAATCTAGGATTGAGGTATGTTGTGTATTAGGTTGTCTTTTTGATCAGTGAGATTTATAATGATTCATGAATTGGGACTAATATCCAGTAATATCCATTATCTTTGCAACAGAACAATGTAGTAATGTATGGCTACTAAATATATAATGTTTATCCAAAATCACAGAATTGTTACTTACTTAATAAATATTTTATGTTTACCAAACAGTTTCATGTGTAAAAATTAGGATGAAAGAAGGGCTTTACACAGAGCATTATGAAAGATGAGACTCATTTTTAATATAATGTGTTTTTGCTGTACTTATTATTTTGATTTTAAATAATAGAATTTTTAGAAAAAAATTATAGAAATAATGTTTTCTCTTTCCTTTAATATTGGAAATCAGTTTAATTCAATAGAAAATAGCTGCATTCTCTTTCATACCTCTTAAATTCAAATATAAGGTTTCATGTCTGATTGGTATAAAAAGGAATTTTTTCTGACAAAATTAGGTTTTTAGTTAGTGCAGTGTAATTATTGCATATATTGTTATTATTTATAACAGTAATAAGTGCCATTTCAAGTCACATATAATAATAGAGTTCTATGTTATGAAGTGTTAAATGGGCCTGATTTTTTTTGTTATTATTAAGGACTCAATGCTCATTGATTTTTATGGAGGACACTCAATGAAACTGAAGAATGTTTAATTTTTTCCTATTTTACAGTTTCAATTTTTTTACATATGTATTGGTAGATAGTTAAATAAGCATGTAATAATTACTAGTACCATATATTTAATATCTCAAGGACAGAGTCAATATCATTTAACAACCAATGGTGTGTATAAGGTATAATTTCTCTTCAAACTTTAGTGCACATATTTTCCCACTCTGTTCTGTGTATACTTTCCTCTATGCAATGCTGCTTATAATTTATGAAGTATTTGTTCTGCATATTTGTCTTTTTGACTGGCCCATGAGCTCCTCTGGGACAAGGCCTGTGTTTCTGGTCTCTTTCAGGCTTTTGGTTTTGTGCCAGAAACAACGAAAGGCTGTTTCTGGCAACAAACTAGGCCTTTGTTGAAAGTTGTTGAATTAAACTGGTGCCACAAGGGACTTCAGTCACATATAGTCTGACACAAAGACGTTTAAAGCAGGGATAAAATGAAATAAAAGAGAAGATTGCCCAACATTTACACATACAAGTTGTTGTTATTATTGTTCAGTCACTAAGCTGTGTCCCACTCTTTGCAACCCCATGGACTGCCGCACGCCAGGCTTCCCTGTCCTTCACTATCTCCTGGAGTTTGTCCAAACTCATGTCCATTGAGTCAGTGATGTGATTCAACCATCTCATGCTCTGTTGCCCCCTTCTCCTCCTGCCTTCAGTCTTTCCCAGTGTCAGGGGGTCAGGTGTAAATTCTTGCTGTGCAGGTTTGATTGTGAACTTTTCTTAACATTTGAGGTGAACATTTTGAAAGTTTATATTCAAATCATTTATCAGTCAAAGACAATCAATGGAAAGTCTTTGCCTCTCCAATAGCCTTAGGGTGTTTCAGAGACAGTTCTGTTTACAATGAGGAGGACACTATATTTAGTCTGATTGTTCAGCCCGTTTAGAGGCTGGCACTACCATTCTGAATGCTCCTGGGAAATTATTTTATTCATTGGCTTTACTTTCCTCACCTGAAATAAGTAAGTCTTTTTTTCCTGCTAAAATCTATTGCATAAGGTTGTGGAGTGAATTAAATAAGATGGTATATAAAAGGGCTTAATAAATTGTAGTGTGCTGTATAGATGTAAGCTATTGTTTTTTGTATCGGGTAACTATATATTCAGCAAACTCTTGCTAAACCTTTACCTTTCTGTGAAGCCAATCTTATCTTGGATAGATTCTCAATATGGTATGTGATATACAGCAGCCCTCTATTGAAACCTATTGTATGTTGTGACACCTAAAGAGAAGTTCTATGTTTAATTATGGAAATTTAAATACCTTTATTTTTGCATTGTCTGTGCAGATTTTGGATATGTCCAAGTGATTTCAGTTTTAATTTATTAAATTCTTATTTATTTTCCTAAATAAATCAAATAATAATAAATATATTTATTAGTAAAACTTTTTATTAAAGAGGAACCTATGTTCCCACTGTATTTTTTGAAAGAGAATAAATGAATCTAGGGCTTCCCAGGTAGCTCAGTGGTAAAGCATCTGCCTGTCAGCAGAACATGTGGGTTTGATCCCTGGGTTAGGAACATCCCCTGGAGAAGGAAATGGTTACCCACTCCAGTGTTCTTGTCTGGGAAATCCCAAGGACAGGGAAGCCTGGTGGGATACAGTCCATGGGGTTGCAAAGAGTTGGACATGACTTAGCGACTAAATAACAGCAAAAAGTGAATCTATATTCCCACTGCTTTTTATTGGAAAGAGAATGAGTAAACCTAATCTCCTAAAGTTCCCTCCAAACTAAGAACTCAATGGAGATTACGAAGCTCAATTGAGACTTTCAAATACTTGCCCTGGGAGATTGGGACCACAATTTTTTTGGGGGTGGGGGGAACCATGATTTCGTTAAAGCTCTTTTTGAGCCCCAAGTAAGAGACTCTGACATAGGTGTAATCCCTTAGAACTTTGAGACTTGGATAAACTTTAACTGTATTATGGATCTAGCTAGAAAATTGAGAACCATTTTTAAATCAACAGGTCAAGAATTTTAGGTTGAGTAGTAGTTCCATAAATAGAAATGTTGTTTCATGCCCACCTAGTTCTGTTTAAAGAAAACTTAAGTTCATGATAGAACCTCTGTCTGCCCTTTAAGATTAAAATTTGTTTTGCACAAGAATTTATATTCTTTGAATATTGGACTTGTAAGTATAGTTAAAATTGGACTTTTTTTTGAAAGTACAGCTTTGAGTAAGTATGTATATCCATCTGCCCTATAGCATCACATTCCCATATCCTCTCCAAAAGAGCAAAGCAAATATGGGTTCATTTAAAACTGTATGAAAATATTTGCTTAACACAACCTCTCTGGAATGGAAAATGTCAAATTGTTAAACTTCTTTCTCTCTCTCTCTTTTTTTTTTGTTCCTTAGGGTGGTTTTTGTTGCTTATTTTTTTTGTGCGAGCCCGCCTCCATGTTTGTTTGTTTGTTTCTGTGTGTGAATTTGAATGCATATTCCATAATTTTCTAAGTGAATTCTTTGGACCCAACACTCCAAAAATACTACTTCTCTTCTTTTGACAGGGAATATTCGACCCTACCATCTCCTGGTCACACTTCATCCACAGAGAGTACTGTAACTTCAAGTGGTAAGTAGATTAGAAAAGATATAAAAATAAGTCTGTTAGTCTGTTATATTGAAAATGGATAACCAACAAGGACCTACTGGACAGTGCATGGAACTTTGCCCAATGTTTTGTGCCAGCTGGATGGGAGCGAGGTTTTGGGGAGAATGGATCCATGTATATGTTTGGCTGAGTTCCTTTGTTGTTCACCTGAAACTATCACAACATGGTTAATTGGCTATACCCCAATGCAAAAGGAAAAGTTTAAAGTTTGGGAAAAAAAATAAATAAATATGAGGAAACAGAAAAAAACTGAGGATATTCTACTAAAGATCCCATAAGCAGAAAGCTGTACTCTATTTCAATAAATGGTATATTATTTAAAACTTCCTTTAAAAAATTAGTATGTTAATATTATAACCATAAGCTTGGATATCTTGTGATCCCCTGAGGTGTATACAAGTGAAAAGGCCATAAGCAAATAATCTTTTGCATAGTATTCATGCTGTTAGTTTCTTCCTGTTGATAGATTCCGGATCAGAAATTTTGCATATGGCTTCTGGTGAGCTTGACTGTAAACCACTCTGTGAGAAAGAGGAAGACAAAAGATCAGCTTCTGCTGTGACAAAGATCCAAGGTAAGCTGCTGAAGGATTCAAGCATAGTTTCCATTCTAAACCATGAAACAAACCTGGAAGCTAGTAGAGTAACTATCATCAGTGGCTGAGTAATATTGTTTTATAAAAGAATTTTGAAGACATAGTCTGAAGAAAAGAACTCTAAGAGGTGACCATGGCCTTCATATATGACAATGTTACCAACTTTTTTCCAACTCTACATTTAGAATAAAACTTACAATGTATTTTAATGGGATTTAAATATCTCCTTGTGGCCAAAATTTATTGAACACACCTGAGTCTCGGCTGTGATGCAGTTGTGAAATCACTTACTTAGGAAGTTCTCAGAATCCTCATTAGAATTTACTGGGTTAAAAGGATGGACCAGGACTTCTCTGGTGCTCCAGTGATTATAACTCCATGCTTACATTGCAGGGGCCATGGTTCATTCCTGGTGGGGGAATTCAGATCTTGAATGCTATGTAGCATGGTCAAAATTTTTTTTTAATAAAATTAAAACTGGATATTAAAAGAAAAAAGGATGGATCAATTAGCGATGGTCCACTCAGGAGGCAGAAATTACCTAAACAATGCATTAGATCCTCCTTTTCTGCCATTTGAGTCTGAAAATAAAGTGGTTATTCTCAACCATTCCCTGTTAGGCATCACTATGGCTGATACTCTTGGGAAACGTAGGCTTCCATTTCTACCTAAAGTGTCAATTAAGGAAAATTCATTGAAAGTTAAATTGGCAATTAAATTTGAGATATAGGTGCTAATTTAAAGGAGCTGTAAAATTGTAGAAATGGAATCCATTCCTTCATTTAACTGAAGAATATCTTTACATTCTATCTCACACCAAATAAGAAAAATTTTAATTAAAACTACACCAGGATACCATTTTTTACCTATCATGTAGACAAAGATAAAACAGTTTGTTTGCACACTTCTGGTAAGATTGTTGGAAGAAAAAGAATTCTTGTCCATTGCTTCAAGGAATGTAAATTATTNTTTATCCTGTAGATCTAAGTACACACATACTATATGACATATATGGAAGTTTATTTACTGCAGCATTGTTTGTAATAACAAATAATGGAAACAAGTTAACTATCAGTAGAAGACTAACATATTTTGTCATGTTCAAGTAATGGAATACTAATATGCATTTATAAAACATACACAGAAGGGAACTTTTTTCTTGGAAGAATATCAAAGAACTATTATTTCTTAGGGAAAAGCACTAGAGTACAAAGTACTAGGTATTGCATGTAAATATTTGTGAAAAAAATAGAAAAAAGTTTTTGTACATATAATACATGTATAAAATATCTGTACAAAGCTAGACAGAAATTAATAACATTACCTGTGAGGCAGGAAACTGGCTTTCTGGTGGACATGATGGGAGAGAAAATTTTCACTGAAAAAAAGTACAAGGTACTTTTGATTTATGGACCAGATGAATCTACTATCAGTCTTAAAAAATTTTTAAATACAAAATTTCCATAGGGAAGATTTTTTTGTCTTTGAAGATAGTGGTTACCATTTTGTTCTTATTTCCATATAAATTTTAAAAATTGAGTACATCCTTTAGTTATTCTGTTTTCTTGAAAAGAAAGAAACAAAATCTAACTATAGCTGCTGACCTTTGTGCCTGGGCTGAACTAAATTCAGTACAATGGGTCATGTGAAGAGGAAAATCATTATCAAGTACATTACAGTACAAACAAATACAGGGAAATTACAAAAATGGCATAAATTAAAAGTGCATCTCTTTTTCTTAGTTGGATGACATTTTGCTTAGAAAGATACTATGTTTTTAAGGATCACATACTTTGTTATCAGCCCTGCACATATAATTTTTAAAAACATGTTTGTCAAGGTATTTTAAAAAGCTAGCTTCCCTGGTGGCTCAGTGGTAAAGAAGCTACCTGCCAGTGCAGGAGATGCGGGTCCTGGATCAGGAAGATCCCCTGGAGAAGGAAATGGCAACTCACTCCAGTGTCCTTGCCTGGGAAATCACACAGACTGAGGAGACTGGCGGGCTGCAGTCCATGGAGTCGCAAAAGAGTTGGGCATGATTTAGTGACTAAGCAACAATAACTAAGTAATTGTTCATCCTTCTTTCATTCAGTTTCTGTAATTACACTAGTAATGTGTTTGATTTAAAAAGCAGCTCAGCCTTAAAAAACAGTTTAAAAACCCTATTATTTGAAGGCCATACAAGTGTTTGTATGGCACATTTGTATGGCACAAGCATTTGTATTCACATTTTTAATTTGTGCCATTCCCTTTTGTAATTTCCCTGTATTTATTTGTACTGTAATGTACTTGATAATGATTTATACAAATATTCATTTCTGTTAAGAAATTTTACATGGCTAGCTTCTTTGGGAACACATGTTAAACCCTTTGCCATTTAGGTGTCTGCCCACATGGCCACCCTCACTATTTCTTCCTCTTTTACTTGTAACCCTCCTCGCCCCACAATGTTTGGTGTGTTTCCTCCTTCTTATAGGCAGAAGTCCAGCTCCTGAAAAAATTGAACTGCAAGGCTCTGTGAGTGAAGAAAAAAGCATGTTGATTCAGGTAATATACACATGTTAACAATAAAAGTAATGATATATTACAATGGTAGAACTGTCCCTTCAAGTTTGCAAAGTACTCTTAAAAGCATTATTTCAATTTATCCTTTCAAAATATTATGAGGTTCATAAAATTTAGTTACAGCAATATTTTACAGATGAAGAAGTTGAGGCCAGAGCAGCCAGGGTCACACAGTAGAGTCAGAGGTAGGACCTCCTGACTCCACACTGGTTTTTCTCTCATTCATTCTTGCATTTGTTCACTCATTTATCCATTAAAGGTCTACTGGAAACAAGCTAAATATCTATCTCTAAAGTCTTCTTACATAAATTAATGCGTTAATAAATAAGGCTAAATAAAAGTGATACCTGTCTTAAAGACATGCTATAATTAAGGGAAGAAACGTACAATTACTCAATAATTAGACTGTGGTTAGACTAACATTGTTTTAGTTCAGTCTATTTGATTATAAGAAACAGAGACTCATGTGACTGTTAATAACCCAGGTTGAGAGAAGGTTGTGACATGTATACATTTGAAGTAATGAGGTAAAAATTTTATGCTAAAGGGAGTGGACTAATTGGATATGTGGTTTGGAATAATTCTTTGTGGTGTAAATTATACCTAAAGTGTAGTGTTAGCTAGCAGACATGCCCAAAATGGTTGCCTCTTGTTAAAACATGGACAGAGGAAAATTCAAATCCTCTAGTCTTTCATAGTAGTCTTTTGAGAAAACATTTTTTTAATTCTCATTTCAAAAAGAAAAAGGAAAAAAAAAAATAATGGATTAGAAAATGTAAAAATAAATAAATAAAAAGTAAAAAAAAATGTAGTAATGGAAGTAGGGGACTGGTTAGAATGCTATAGGAATAATTCAGGCAAGATATGAAGATAGTATGAATTTAGTGATAATGAAAAAATGAGACTTATTTGAGAGATATTTAAGGAATAACATTCACAGTACATAGTGACTCATAATCAGGGGCCTGGGAAAAGGTAAATACTTAGGTTTACAGCTTAACCTACAGAATGAGTAGAACAACATGAGAGTAGGAAAGAGTAAGAAGAATTTGTGGAGTAAATTTAATTAATTTGAGATAAATCAAGTTTCAGGTTGATATGTGATATCATCAACACCGTGTAAGGAGATGTTATAGATAGCTATATACCCATATTCATAAACTCATCAATGGGACTTTGGGGACAGAGACATATTTGTGAGTTATCAGCAAAAAAACAAGCATGTGGATGAGATTTCCCAAGAAAGGAGGGAAGGTAGAGAGAGAGAACAGAGGATGATGGACTCTTGATGATTCCAGTGTTGAATAAGAGGAGGCCAGTGGCAAAGGAGATGGAGAAGGAGCTATTGCAGTGACTGGGGTACATCAGGAAATGGAAGCCAAGGGCTGAAAAACCTTCAAGGAGGGGACTCTAGATCATTTTAGATGTTACAGTGAGCTTAAGTAAGATACTGACTGAAAATTATTCATTGGGTTTGGCAGTAGGGAGGTCACGGATAACTGGGGAGGGCACGTTCCTAGGAGTGTTGGGTGCAGGGGCAGAGTAGTTCACAGATCACAAATGGGAGATGAAGAATTGGAGCAACTCTTCAACTGTGTCCAACAGTGGCCAACTCTTCCCAGAAGAAGCATAGCCAGGAAGCACAGAAGAGGAAAATGACATCGCTGGAAGACATTATAGGATTGAGAGAGGATTAAAAAAACTTTAAGATTGTGTAAATATTGAGACAAATGATCCAGTGTTTTACCTGCATTATTGCATTTGTTATATTTTATCAAAATCTTAGTTCCAGTTGTCCAAAAATGATGTGATGTGGTATCCCAGGCCCTACAAAGGAAATTTGTCCTGGCCAAAATAAGGAAATATGGAAAATTTCTGAGAATGTTGAATAATAATTATCCTAAAATAATTGTAACCTATAGCTCCTTCTTTAGATTTCCCCAGGCAGTAGAGTACAACTCCTATGATGGTGATTCTTGTTGTATAGATGCTTTTGTAGGCAGTTGGTCATGACCTTAGAGTATATTCAGATGGAGTAAAAGTCAAACATAACACCGTCTTTTTTTGAAGTATAATTGCTTTATGATGTTCTGTTAGTTTCTGCTGTACAATGAAGTGAATCAGCTCTGCACATACATAGATCCCTCCCCTCTTAGACCTCCCTGCCACTCCTTCCCCATCCCACCTCCTAGGTCATCACAGAGCACTGAGTTAAGTAAGCTTCCTGCATTACATAGCAGATTCCTTCCACTGGCTATCTATTTAACACATGGTCCTGTATATATGTCACTCCTAATCTCTCAAGTCGTCCCACTCTCCCCTTCTACCCCTGTCTCCACATGTCCATTCCCTACATCTGAGTCTCATTTTAGCAGTTATTATGTCATAATTTCCCCAACAACCCATTTGGAATGCTATGTGTGAAAGTCCTAGATTACCACCCCCTTTTCATTCATTCAGTCCCACCTCTCCCTCAAGCTCCAACTTGTTCTTTGCCTGCAGAGATATTCCATGCTTCTCAAGCCATATGTCTCTCTCCTTCCTTTGCAAAGCATATATTTGTATCTCATTTGGCAGGCACTTAATCCTAGTCTTCTTTGTGGTAATTGGTATCACATTTGCAGCTTTTCAGGTATTTCTGTTTTTTTTTTAATGCCTCAACTAGACTGAAAACCCTGTTGGAGCCAGTCCTCTTTTCTTAATCCCTAACACAGTTCTTGGCATACTTTGTTTTTGAACAGGGTAGGGCAGGAGAGGACAGGAAGCCAAGAAATGATTGCGTACGAAGGATTTCCACTCTATGTACAGCAATAAAATCTCCTTATGTTTTTAGGAAGCCAAAAGGGAGCCAGAAACAATAGATGAGCACAGAAAGGAATGTGCCGCAGGAGGTAAGGCATATTCTCTTCCAACCCCCAACCCACATTAACCTTTATTCCCTGCTGGTAGGTTTTATGGGAGAGATCTTTCTCAGTAAAGATATGGCAAGCCAACTCTTTGTGACCCCATGGACTATAGCCTACCAGGCTCCTCTGTCCATGGGATTCTTCAGACAAGAATACTGGAGTGGGTTGCCATTTTCTTCTCCAGGGGCTCTTCCTGACCCAGGGAGTGAACCTGAGTCTCCTGCATTGCAGGCAGATTTTTTACCATCTGAGCCACCAGGGAAGCCCCCTATAACTCTGCATCTGTAGGTAATACCAGTCAAACTAATTTTGATTCAATTTGTATCATTTTCAGAAGGCCATATTTACATTGCATTGCCTGTTAAGCCTAAAGGTCTGGTAATAACCAGTGCCCTATTGTGAACTAAAAGCTGTGCCAATTGTTGGGACTTCCCTGATGATCAGTGGCCAAAACTCCACACTCCCAGTGCAGTGGGCCTGGGTTAAATTCCTGGTCAGGGAACTAGATCCCACACAGCACAGCTAAGAGTTTACATGCCTCAACTAAACATACTGCATGCCTTAAGGAAGATCGAAGATCCTGTGTGCCACAACTAACACCCCATTTAGCCAAATAAATAAATATTTTAAAAAATGCCAATGTTAGTAGTGAATTCTCAGCAGCTCTAATCTGAGATCTTTTTTATTGTCCCATCTAAAAGCAAATAAGCCAGTATGTAAAGAATGAGTGTTAATTTACTTCTCTCCCCATCTTCCTATTAGGATGGAATAGTGCGCATAGAGTTCCGCCTTTGGAAATCAAACACTATACTCACTCACTCTGTTACTTGCTGTGACTTTGGAAAGTTGTTTAACCTAAGTCTTAATTTCCTCATTTGCAAAGTGGAAATGATGAGTAAAAAGCAATGTGGTGGTGGCTTAGTCAGTAAGTTGTGTCCAGCTCTTGCAATCCCATGGACTGTAGCCCACCAGGCTCCTCTGCCCATGGGATTTTTCCAGGCAAGAATACTGGAGTGGTTTGCCATTTCCCTTGTAGCCCAGCTGGTAAAGAATCTGCCTGCAATGCAGGAGACCCTTGTTTGATTCCTGGGTCGGGAAGATCCTCTTTAGAAGAGATAGGCTTACCCACTCCAGTATTTTTGGGCTTCCCTGGCGGCTCAGCTGGTAAAGAATCTGCCTGCAAGGCGGGAGACCTGGGTTCAATCTCTGGGTTGAGAAGTTACCCTGGAAAACGGAATAACTACCCACTCCAGTATTCTGGCCTGGAGAATTCCATGGACAGTATAGTCCGTGGGGTCACAATGAGTCGGACATGACTGAGCAGCTTTCACTTTCACCTTTCACTTTCACAGATCAATGTATCCTTTATGAATAGACTGTGCTAAGTACTAGGCAAAATTGTTTATGTACATAGTTCCATTTAGTTCTCCTCAATGCCTGTTTGAAATAGGTGAGCTGTGATTCAGTTTCATAGCCTATAAACTGTAGGTAAGAAGAGAACCTACCACAGAAGGCTGGCTGTGAGGATTGAGTAAATGATGTAAAAAGCACTTAGAAAAGTGCCTGATGAAAGTTCTCATAAAAACTACCATAGAAAAATAGAAAAATCATCCTTATTTTGTGGATGGTTTGATGAAGTTGTGACTACTTGTTCCAAGTAACTTAGTTATAAGGATCAAAGTGTTGACTGGAAAAAAAAAAGCACAACCTAAACTTTGAGAATTACAGTTTATCTAGTAGATTTATTAAGGACTTAAGCCTGGGATATAGCTTCTCAGCTCTGAGCAACTGCTCCAAAGAGGTAAAGGGAGAGACAGTATATATGGGAGTTTTGCCACAAAGCAAAACAACAAAAAACTGCCAGGCCATCCAACATCGAAAGACTACTGCTAATTGTAAAAAACCCAGACATCTCAAGTTAGTGAATTTAGCACTTTTCTGTGCATGGGAAGATACGAGAGTCTGGACTTATTGCAGTCATTCCTTTGATACGCACCTTAACTAAAAGCAGGGCCAGTACCCTGCTTTTCTCCATCCTAAATCCCCTATGGCTTGATGGGAACAACATCTTTTGTTTACTGAAATGACAGGTAACATTCTTTGTCCACAAAAGCTAGGATTTAAACTAGGTTTTTTCAACTCTAAATCTAATGCTCTTAATAACTACTCTTGTGGTCTTTGCAAAATAGTGGAGAGTATCATTAATATGTATAAAGAGTCTTGTTCTGGGACTGGCCTATAGTAAACCTGTGGGAAATGGTTGGGATATCATATTTATACTGGCCGCCTGTTGCAAAGAGCTGACTCATTGGAAAATACCTGATGCTGGGAAAGATTGAAGGAAAGAGGAGAACGGGGTGACAGAGGATGAGATGGTTAGATAGCATCATTGACTCAGTGGACATGAGTTTGAGCAAACTCAAGGAGATAGTGAAGGATAGGGAAGCCTGAAGTGCTGCAGTCCATGGGGTTGCAAAGAGTCAGACATGACTTAGCCACTGAACAACAACAATCATGCTTATTCTTGCTGTTATTGTTACTATTATTATTATTATACTATTAATATTATTACTGCTACTAGCATCCTTACTCTTGTTGTTGCTGCTTTTAAACCCTTGATCTGTAGGAGGACCCGGGTACCAGAGGAAGGTATGCATTTAACCATGGAATCAAATTAAATAAACATTCAAATACAGGAAGAACAAACTGGGCTGTCCCTTGACTCTGAGACATTTTCAGGTTTCAAAGACTATTCACATGCTGAAATGTGAGCCAATAATTTTAACATCCTCATAATCCCCAAAGCATAATGTAGTACAGCATTATCTTATGTTAATATTTAAGCAGATGTATTATTAGCTGAGGGACATCCGAGGTGGCTCAGTGGTAAAGGATCTGCCTGCCAATGCAGGAGACAAAGGTTCAGTCCCTGGGTTGGCAAGATCCCCTGGAGGAAGAAATGTCTACCCACTCTAGTATTCTTGTCTGGAAAATCCCGTGGACAGAGAGAAGCCTGGTGGGCTGCAGTCCATGGGATCACAAGAGTCGGACAAGACTGAGCGACTGAGCATGCACGCATGCATTATTAGCTGGCAAGCTTTGCAGACATATGTCAATGAAATACCTTTGTTTTTTGGAGCACGGACATAATAACATTTGGTTGAATGTGCCCTTAGCTGTTAATCCTTTTTAACCAAATACTATTCTATTGTCTTTAATAGGTGCTGCTCTTTCCTCTCTTCCTGTGAAGTCGGTTAACTTTAGACAAAGTGACAAGTAAGTTCTTCCTCATACAGCATGCTCACGTTTTTGGCGTTTCTGTTGAACTATGTTTTAATAAGTTCTTTCTCTTATTCTGTAGCACTTCTGCTAATGAGAAGGAGGTAGAGGTAAGTTTCAAGCAAATATTTTTTTCTTTAATAAAAAAAGTGTTTCAGAATCACTTGCCTACAGTCCCTGTATGCTTTTTCATGAGCTGTCCTATATGTGTTGTCTTTTGGCTTGGCCATGACAAAGTACAGATAAGCTCATGCATGCCAGCATTATGTCACTGGGAGGAGAAACATATGCTTCAGTGTAATTTGGTATTAAGCTGAAATATTTTACTACATGCAACGTTCTCCCCTCACCTTCACATTATTTTGATAATAGGCCGAATTTCTCAGATTATCTTTGGGATTTAAATGTGACTGGTTCACCTTGGAGAAAAGAGTGAAGCTTGAAGAAAGATCCCGTGACTTGGCCGAAGAAAATTTGAAGAAAGAAATCACTAACTGTTTAAAACTGTTAGAGGTAAGAACCTTAACATTTGGGAACTATAGGTTTGTTATATTATTAATAAAGTTTTCTAAACTACATGACTTTATTTGTATAACTAAAACTATCACCAGGTACCAAACCCTGCCTGACTCAAATGTGAATTAATAGGAGGTAAGAAGTCAGGATCAAGCTAAGATAAAAGGTTCACCAACAGAAGGGTATAAGCAGTAAAACAAACAAATGTGTTTAAAGCAGTTATGTGACTCTTCTGCCATCTCTCTAGATCTTCAAGTAGATTTCAGGTAGAAGAATAAGCAGAAAACAATTTTAAGCTTCAAAGAAGATAATCCAAAGACCATTTCCATTTAATTAACTGAGAAAAGAGGATGGTGACTCATTTCAGTCTTGTTAGATAATGGGCAGACCCTTCTGTTAGGTACACAGAAATGTAATAGCTACTATTCTTCTATTTTATGAAGTCACCATAAATATACAGATGGGTTGGAAAATTAAAATGGCTTAATTTTTGAAAAAAATTAAAGAAACCATGTTCTGTTTTTACTGTGGTTTGAAAAACACATAATGTAAAATTTACCATAATAACCATTTTAAGTGTACATTATTAGTAATGTTGAGTATATTCACATTGTTATGAAACAGAGCTTCAGAAGTTTCTCATCTTGCTTACTGAAACTCTATGTCTATTAAACTATTCCCCCTTTCCCCTTCTCTCAGCCCCTGGTAATCACCATTCTATTTTCTGTTTCTGTGAATCTGACTACTTTAGATAGCTCATGTAAGTGGAATCATACAGTATTTGTCTTTTTGTAACTGGCTTATTTTTCTTAGCATAATGTCCTCAGAGTTCATCCATGTTGTAGCATGTGGCAGGATTTCCTTCCTTTAAGGATGAATAAAATTCATTGTATGCATAGACCACATTTTGTTTATTCATTTGTTTATTGATGGACATTTGAGTTGCTTCCACCTCTTGACTGTTGTGAACATTGAACACTTTTGCTATGAATATTGGTGTGCAAATATCTCTTCAAGACCCTGCTTTCAATTCCTTTAGAAATATGCCCAGATGTTGATTGCTGGATTATATAGAGTTCTATTTCTTAAGTTTTTGAGGAGCCACCATACTGTTTTGCACAGGGCTTACACCATTTTACCGTCCTACTAACAATGTACCAAGGTTCCAGTTTTTCTGTATCTTGGCCAACATGTTATTTTCTGATTCCTGATAGTAGCTATTCTGATAGGTGCAAGGTGATATCTCATTGTGGTTTTGACTTGCATTACTGATGATTAGTATTTGAAGCATCTTTCATATGCTTACTGGCCATTTGTGTATCATCTTTGGAGCATGTCTATTCAAGTCCTTTGCCAAAATTAAAGTAATAGATATGATTTGCAAATATTTTCTCCCATTTCATGGGTTGCCCCTTCATTCTGTTGATTATGTCCTTTGATGCACAAAAGTTGGTAAGTTTGATGTAGTGCTCTTTGTCTACTTTTGCTTTTGTCATCTATGCTTTTGGTATCATATTCAAGAAATCATTGCCAACTCCATTGTCAGGAAGATTTTCACTACAGTTTTCTTCTAGAGTTATCTTCTGGGGTTATATAATTTGGGGTCTTCAATCCATTTTGGATTGATTTTTGTATATAGTGTAAAATAAGAGTCCAACTTTACTGTTTTGCAGTTTTCCAGCATCATTTATTAAAGAGACTATTTTTTCTCCATTTTGTAGTCTTGGCAACCTTGTCAAAGATCATTTGACCATATGACCATTTGACCATGTGTAGGTTTATTTCTGGGCCTGCTATTCTGTTCTACTGGTCTGTCTTTATGCCAATACCATTCTGTTTTGGTTACTGTAACTTTGTAATGTGCTTTGAAACCAAGACATGGGGTACCTTTAGCTTTGTACTTTTGTTTTCAAAACTGTTTTGCTCTTCAGAGTCCTTTGAGATGCCATATGAATTTCAGGATGAATTTTTCTGTTTCTGCAAAAAAAAAAAATCCACTGGGATTTTGATAGAGATTATATTCATTTGTTAATTGATTTGACTAGTATGGACGTGAGACAAATGGCTTTCCATCAGGAAAGCCTTAGGAAAGCCATCATCTTAGATCAATGGCACAGGTTTGAGATAAATATTCATAAGGCAACAAAGGCCTACTTACCTAACCAGCCTAGGTTCACCTTGTCATCAGTGGAAGAGCAAATATAGTGGTCAGAGTCAAATATAATTTGAGTATATTTTTACTACTTTTCTTAAAAATTCAAACTATGTTCTTCATATAGTGCATTCATTTATAGAAATAATTTCTTTACCACTGCTAATTAATTATATCCCATCCCATTAATTGTAGAAGAAAGATATAAACACACATGAAGGAGTGGCAAATTTGGGAAGTTAAAGTAGAGGAGATCAAAATTGTATAACAGATTTTATGAACACCTCCATAGGTCTACTTGATAGCCAACAAAGATCATAATATTTCAGTAGCATTCATTATTTGTCTTTACCGCTGCTTTTCACCTTCCACAGATATATTAGAGCCATCTGCATTTACAACATAGTCAGTATTAGAATCACTTGCTGAGTACTTGGGTTTGATACTTTCTAATGCTTTACTTTTTGTGCAGTCTTTAGCGTCTCTTTGTGAAGATGACAGCCAAGCGCAGGAAATCGTTAAGAAGCTGGAGAAGAGTGTCACGTTCCTGAGCCAGTGTGCAACACGAGTGGCCAGTAGGGCCGAGATGTTGGGAGCCATTAATCAGGTAGTTTGCCTCCATTTCCCTAATTACAGTGAAACTACTGAAAGGATTTATTACCTGTAACATTATGCATTGTGTTTCTAGGAAAACACTCTATTTGATCATTTCAGAATATTTTTGGTATTTTGTGCTTTTAGACAATGCAGCAATAAAGATCCTTGTTTATGGATCTTCTCATACTTATTCAGAGAGAAGTAGATTTTTTTTTTCAAAATTTGTGGGAAATTCTGGGGAAGATTTTAAGTTTTTGAATCTATACCTAAATTGATGTGTTATATTCATATCTCTAAATAATATGTCTACACAATCACTTAGTGGTTTATTTACAGTTTTAGATATTTATTTGTTTCCTACTGCCGGGGCCCAGCCTCGGCGGGATCCAGGGGGTACCCTCGGGATGAACGGCGTCAGCAAGAGAAGACACGTGAGACCAGCCTTGATAGGGCCAAGTCTCGGGATGAACGGCGAGAGAGAGAGAGAGAGAGAGAGAAAGAGAGAGAGAGAGAGAGAGAGAGTGACCAGACGGGGGTGTTTGCAGAGTCTGGCAGGGTCTGGCAGAGTCTGGCAATGCTTTATTTTTTTACCATAGCTTTTATACACTGTTAGTACATTTTTTGGTATTTTGTGCTTTTAGACAATGCAGCAATAAAGATCCTTGTTTATGGATCTTCTCATACTTATTCAGAGAGAAGTAGATTTTTTTTTTTTTTCAAAATTTCTTTGTGGGAAATTCTAGGGAAGATTTTAAGTTTTTGAATCTATACCTAAATTGATGTGTTACATTCATATCTCTAAATAATATGTCTACACAATCACTTAGTGGTTTATTTACAGTTTTAGATATTTATTTGTTTCCTACTGCCGGGGTCCAGCCTCGGCAGGATCCAGGGGGTACTCGGGATGAACGGCGTCAGCGAGAGAAGACACGTGAGACCAGCCTTGATAGGGCCAAGACTGCAAGGAGAGAGAGAGAGAGAGAGAGAAGACACGTGAGACCAGCCTTGATAGGGCCAAGTCTCAGGATGAACGGCGAGAGAGAGAGAGAGAAAGAGAGAGAGAGAGAGAGTGACCAGACGGGGATGTTTGCAGTGTCTGGCAGGGTCTGGCAATGCTTTAGTTTTTACCGTAGCTTTTATACCCTGAGTTAGTACATTTCTGAGGGGAGGATAGTTTAACATTACATCAGCTTGTTCTCCACGAAACCAGGGTATTTTCTGCATACTTCTTTGTTTATGAGGGTCTTGTACATTATCTTCTGGCCTTGGGGCCTGTTAACATTTTATGCAGGTCAGGTGAATGTAAACCTATTTTCCCTTTCTGTGGTGACCTTAACTGAAAGTTAGAGGTCTCATAGGGCAACAGTATAGAGTAGAAGTATAACCTTGTTAACATAAAAATTAATCCTTCTGCAGAAGTTGTCAGTTGAGTTTGTCTAAGAAGTTTACCCCACACTGACTCTGTGACTTTGGTGAGGGAGCCTCTGCCTAGCACTCTTGGGTGACAATTAACAACTATCTCATTGTTACCACACTAGGGCTAAGCTCTTATTTTTCTAGATCTATATTAACAATGGTTTCTATAACACAACCTTAGCACATTAAGAGCAAAAACACAGCAAGCAAATGTTAACCCAATAGCTACTTTTAGAATAATTTTTCTTGTGTTTTCTAATAGGGCTTCCTCACCCCCCAAAGGGCTCTATGTCTATTAGGGCCTTTATATGATCAGGTTCTTTATGCTGTTTTATGATTAGGGTATTATAAGCAATCATGCCTATTAGTACCAAGGGCATAAACGCATTTGCCAAACAAACTAAAATACCAGCAAAGGAGTTTAAATTAAAACACTCCTTTCACCCTGGATAATCTCATAAAATACCACCACCTGGGAAGCTTATTGATTAAAGTTCTAAATTGATTCTTATTTGGAAAGAGATCGGGGAAGGCCTTCCTGCCTATGTCACAGAAATTAGGGAGTAGTCTATTGAAGCAAGCATCAGAAAGACAGATATCATCTTTAAGGTGAGCACTGGGGGCAGCTTCTCAGAATCCCTGAAAACCTGATCTGCCTTGCCTGTCAGGTTTTCTCCTCATGACCTTGTCATGGGTGGGATCTCGTGAGCTGGCCTTTTCGAAACCCCCGAAAACCTGATCCGCCTTGCCTGTCAGGTTTTCTCCCTCATGACCTTGTCATGGGTGGGATCTCATGTGCCGGCTCCCGGCACCTACTATGAAGATGAATATTTAGTTCTTTTATAAATCTCTGCTCCCTCACACCTAAAGTGTCTTTCACTTTATTGTTGATCTTTCTTCTTTCCTGACCAAGCTTAAATTCCATGGTCAAACACTATATTCACTCTCTTGCATGAACTCTCAACACTTTTCCCTCTCTCATTTTATTCATTTAGAAAATCTACAATCTTGTTTAATATACTTCTTTACCTGCTCATGCCTGCATAGCTGGAAAACCTCACACCCTTATGCTGACTGAGTTCTCTTGAAATTCATCACAAATCTTAAGTGGTCCTTGGGCCTTCTCATCATTCACCCTGCTTCTCTTCTATATATCAATTTCATACTTTCCCTTTCCCTTGAAACCTCTATCCTGTCCTCTCCTATCTTCTCTGTCAAATGATGACTTTGCTTCCTAATTCAGTAGGAAATTTGAGGTAGTCAGAAGGAATCCACCAAAAGCTTTGAACCTACAAGCATCTAAACACTTAACATTGCCTTCCTTCCTAGTACCAAAGATGAGTTTTCTCTGCTCCTATCCAAGGCTAACCATCCCACCTCTATGCAAGAGCCCATCCCTTTCAGCTTGCTAAGAATCTGGGCCACAATTCTCCCTGCAGTCTTTCCTCTCCAGTTTTTTCCCACTCTATTGAATCATTCTCATCAGCACACAAATACTTAAATACTTTGTTTATAAGACAGGAAAAATAACACAAAGCAAACACAAAAAGTCTTTCACTCTTTCTCCTTTGGTTACCACCCTGTTTCTCTGTTCCCATTTTTAGCAAATTTCCTCAACAGAACTGAACTCACTGTTTCCAATTTCTCTGCTCCCGTCATCTCTGAAATTTACTCTAGTCCGCCTTAACCTACTCTTTTTTCTTAGCCTGTCTGCTATATTCTACATGGCTAAGCTCTTCCTCCTCCTGGAAACACTCTTGACATTTGGCTTCCAGGTACCCAATCCCCTGGTTTTTTTCTCTATAGCGTAAATCATCATGGACCCTTCCAGGCTCCTTTATGGGTCCCACCCTTTCTCCCAGCCTTATTAATCTTGATGGACCCCATGGCTTTACCTTTGCATGTCTGATCTCCATCATCACTCAATCCCGGTACTATCCCATCTAGTCAACTGATGCCTCCCCAATTCACACACTTATCCTAAATATCTGCCATAAATTTTAGACTAGAATCTGCTACTGTCAACATAGGACTTCCACTTGGAAGTTTGATAGACAACTTAAGCTTAACATGTCCAAAAAGAAACTGCTGATGGAAGGGAAGAAAATATTTGAAGATCATATACCTAGTAAGGGTCTAGTTTCCAGAATATGGGCTTCCCTGATAGCTCAGTTGGCAAAGAATATGCCTGTAAAGCAGAAGACTCTGGTTCAATTCCTGGGTTGGGAAGATCTGCTAGAGAAGGGATAAGCTACCCACTCCAGTATTCTTGGACTTACCTTGTGACTCAGCTGGTAAAGAATCCTCCTGTAATGCGGGAGACCTGGGTTCGATCCCCGGGTTGGGAAGATACCCTGGAGAAGGGAAAGGCTATCCACTCCAGTATTCTGGCCTGGAAAATTTCATGAACAGAAGAGCCTGGTAGGCTACAGTCCATGGGGACGCAAAGAGTTGTACATGACTGAGACTGCACATACGTGCACATACATCCAGAATATGTAAAGAATGCTTGCAACTTAACAGAAAGATAAGCAATCCAATTAAAAATGCAAATAAGACTTGAATAGACATTTCCCTAAAGAAGTTATACAAATGGCCAATAAACCCATGAGAAGATGCTTAATTGTTAGCGAATTGAAAATCAAAGCCATAATGATAAACCACTTCACACCCACTAGTATAGCTATAATAAAGGATAAAGAAAGGAAGGAAGAAGGAAAATAACTAGTGTTGACAAGGATGTGGAGAAATTACAATTTTTTTTTTTCATTTGAGGAAAATTGCTTTACAATGTTGTGTTGGTTTCTGCAGTATTGTTGTTGTATTAATATAATATTTAGCCACTAAAAGGAATGAAGTATTGATACATGCTACAATGTAGCTGAATCTGGAAAATTTTATGCAAACCATAGATGCTAGACACAAAGGTCACATGTTGTGTGATTGTGTTTATATATAGTATCTAGAGTGGATAAATCTTTAGGGAAAGGTAGAAGATTGGTGTTTGCTAGCTTCTAGGGGAAGGAGATGAGTAGGAAGTAACTGCTTCATAAGTATGGGGTTTTATTTTGGGATGATGAAATGTTTGGGGACTAGATAGAAGTGATGTTTGTATAACATTGTGAATGTACTAAATGTCACTAAATTGTTCACTTTAAAATAGTAAATTTTATATTGTGAATCATAGTATAAAAAAAGAAAAAATACAGTAAGTATGTATTTTGTCAGGTTCCAGTTCGAATAAAACTGTAGATGTTTTTGAGACAGCTGGGGAAATTTGAATATGAATTAGATGATGTTAAGGTGTTTATATTTATGTTGTTAGATGTGATCATGGTATTATTATTTAAGGAAATATACTCCCATTTTTTAGATATTTATTAAAATGTTTAAGAGTTAAATAATATGATGTCTGTCACCTGTACTTAAAAAAATAGCATTCAAACTTTGAGATGAAACTTATATGCCAAAATGTTGACAATTCTTGAAACTGATTGATGGACATATGTGGATTTATTGTGTACTTTTTGTGTCTGTGGAAATTATCATAATATAAACAATTTTAATTTTTTAAAAGTAGATAAATAATATTAGATCTGTATTATCTGTAAATATTATTATGCCCATGTAAGTTCTATTCATAGCAGATACAAGTAGCCTTTTACGATGACTTTTCATCCTTTGTACAATGTTTATGTTCTTTTTGGAGTTACTAATTTTACTTTGCCATGATTGTTATGCTTAAGTTTTCTATTTACTTATCTCTAATTTATTCTTAACCTCTCCATGGAGTCTAGATTTCACAATAGATACACATTCATCAGGTATTCTGTCAATTTTTTCCTTGAGTTGTTGCTTCCAGAGACTTTTGACCTGTCAGTCTCAACTGGTGTGTGTGTGTGTGTGCGCACGCTCAGTTGTGTCCGACTCTTTGCGACCCTGTGGTCTGTAGCCCACCCTGCTCCTCTGTCCATGGAATTTTCCTGGTGAGAATACTGGAGTGGGTTGCCATTTCCTACTCCAGGGAATCTTCCTGATCCAGGGATAAAACCTGCATCTCTTGCATCTCCTGCACTGGCAGGCAGAAATTCTTTACCACTACACCACGTGGGAAGCAAATTCTTAAATAAAGACTTCTTTCACTTCTCTCTTGAGTTAAACTCCATCTCCTGAATCCCATGCCTCCTTCTTTGCTGGTTTATTTATTTTTCTTTATTTTGATGGAACATCTCACCGAGTAACTTTCCAAGAAAAGAATGCCTGAGAGGTAAACGTTTTGAGATGTTATATAACTGAAAATTCAAGTCTTTATTCTTATGCATCTTTACACTAACTGGGTAAAGGATTTTAGATTAGAAATCATTTCCTTTAGAATTTTTCTTGCACTGCCTCATTTTCTTCTTAGCTTCTGGTGTTGGTATCAAATTTTGATTCCATTCTGACTCCTGAGCTTTTGTTTACAGCATATTTTTACTTTTTAGAAGCTTTTAGAATATTCTCTTACCCCTACTGTCCTTCCCTGGCATGGGTTTATTTTCAACCACTATTTTAGATCCTGAGTGGACATAAATTGGCAAGTTATTCCTTGAGTTCAGAAGTTTTCTTGAACTATTTCCTTTTCTACACCTTGTGGACTTTTTCTACATTTTCTAAACTTGCATTCCTGTTTTTTGGCTGTTGGATCTCCTGAACTGGTCCTTTCTCTTTTCTTTTCTACCTTTTAGTCTTTTTTTCTCTAGTTTCAGAGAAGTTTCCTCAACTTTATCTTGAGACTTTTCTCTTGAGTTATGTATTTTTGTTATATTTCTGACTTCCAGACTTTTAAAATTCTCAGATCCTAACTTTTTAATATCTTGTTCTCATTTCACAAATGTAATGCTTATTCTTGTTTGAAGATATTGATAGCTTCCTTGAAGTTTTCATTTTTCTGTAGTTTATTTCTTTCAGCTTGTTTTTTCCCCCTGTATTTTTATTTTCTTTTCTCAGGTTAGAGGCTTGCCTCTGACTAGTGATGACCCATTAACTAGTCCCATTAACTGATCGGGAACTCGGAATGTGTTAGGCAGGGAAGCTTTTTCCTGGCTCTGAGTTTCACACAAGCTAGGACGTTTCACCAGCATCCTCTTAATGCCAATAGTTTTTTTTAAGACTTTCATCCTGCAGTGTTAAGGTTCCTCAAAGAAAATTCCAACTGCTTATCTTGAGAGTATAATCCTGGCTATCAGTGTTTGGTAGTTAGAAGAATAAGGTTTTATATCTTAATATTCAACATGTATCAGCAACAGCCACAGGAGTGGAAAAGGTCAGTTTTCGTTCCAATCCCAAAGAAGGGCGATGCCAAAGAATGTTCAAACTATTGTATAATTTTGCTCCTTTCACATGCTAATAAGATTATGCTCAAAATCCTTCAAGTTCAGTTTCAGCAGCATGTGAAGGAGAACTTCCAGTCGTACAAGCTGGGTTAGAAAAGGCAGAGGAACCAGAGATCAAATTGCTGACATTCATTGGATCAGGCAGAAAGTACGGGAATTCCATAAAAGCATCTACTTCTGCTTCACTGACTATGCTAAAGACTTTGACTGTGTGGACTACAACAAACTGTGGAAAATTCTTAAAAACATGAGAGTACCAGATCACCTTATCTGTCTCCTGAGAAACCTGTATGTAGGTCAAGAAGTGGCAGTTAGAACTGGACGTGGAGCAACTGACTTGTTCAAAATTAGGAAAGGTGTATGACAAGGCTATTGTCACCCTGCTTATTTAACTTATATGCAGAGTACATCAAGTGAAGTTGCTGGGCTGGAGGAGTCACAAGCTGGAATCAAGATTGCCAGGAGAGATATCAACAACCTACGCAGATGACACCACTCTAAAGGCAAAAGGTGAAGAGGAACTAAAGAGCTTCTTGCTGAGGGTGAAAGAGGAGAGTAAAAAGGCTTTACTTGAAACTCAACCTGAAAAAAACTAAAATCATGGCATCTGTTCCCATCACTTCATAGCAAATAGATGGGGAAAAAGTGGAAGCAGAGATAGAATTTATTTTCCTGGGCTTCAAAATCACTGCTGACAGTGACTGTAGCCATGTAATTAAGACACTTGCTCATTGGAAGAAAAGCTATGACAAACTTAGATAGTGTACAAAAAAGCAGACATCCCTTTGGTGACCAGGGTCCGTATAGTCAAAGCTATGGTTTTTCCAGTAGTCACGTGTGGATGTGAGAATTGGACCATAAATAAGGCTGAGTGCCGAAGAATTGATGCTTTCAAACTGTGGTGCTGAAAAAGACTCTTGGAGTCCCTTGGACAGCAAGGAGATCAAACCAGTCAATCCTAAAGGAAATCAGCCCTGAATATTCATCAGAAGAACTGATGCTGAAGCTCCAATACTTTGGTCACCTGATGCGAAGCTGACTCATTGGAAAAGACCCGGATGATGGCAAAGATTGAGGGCAGGAGGAGAAGGAGGCGACAGAGGATGAGATGGTTAGATAGCATCATCAACTCAGTGGACATGAATTTGAGCAAACTCTGGGAGATAGTAGAGGACAGAGGAACCTGGCATGCTGCAGTCCATGGAGTCACAAAGAGTCAGACATGACTTAGGGACTGACCACCAACAACAGACTTTTGCTTGCATCTATTTTTTTCTGTAGGATCCATTCACCATCAACTGTTACTGCTCAATCCACAGACCCTCTGTTCAAATCTCTCCAGTTATCCACCATTTTTAGTCTTTCCCCAAAATGGTAGAGGGGTTCAGCCGACCTGAGTAATAACAGAGAGGATCTGTGGATCTAATTACCTTTTATACAGATTTTCAACTCATTATGTGTTTTACCTCCAAGCTTAATTCCAGACATACCACTAATTCTTGGGCATTTGTGGATTTCTGTGATTCAACCCAAGTTTCTTCCAGGCTTTTCTTTTCTTTTTTTTTAGGGTTTGGCTTTTCAGGTCTTTGTTGTTTACCACTAGTCTGTCTACTTGGCAGGTGTTCAGAATTAGGTTGCTATTCTGTCCTCTTCCATTCTGATTACCCTTGTATGCCTGCCTGCTAAGTTGCTCAGTCATGTCCAACTCTTTGCAACCCTATGGACTGTGGCTCAGCAGGTTCCTCTGTCCAAGGGATTCTCCAGGCAAGAATACTGGAGTGGGTTGTTGTGCCCTCCTCCAGGGGACCTTCCTGACCCAGGGATCGGACCTGAGTCTCTCTATGTCTCCTGCATTGGCAGGACAGTTCTTTACCACTAGCGACACCTGGGAAGCCCTTACCCTTTTGTACTCATGCCTTTAAAACACAGCAACAAAAAACTTTTATCATAACTTTAGTGGGATTTATGTCTGAGATGAAGATAAGTGGATGTAGCTTTTAACTGAGTGTTAAGGATAGTATTTTTGATGTAAATTTGTTTTGTTTTGTTTTCCTGCTAGGAAAGCCGGGTTAGTAAAGCAGTTGAAGTGATGATTCAGCATGTAGAAAATCTGAAGAGGATGTATGCCAAAGAGCATGCTGAATTAGAAGAACTGAAACAGGTTCTTTTGCAAAATGAAAGGTCTTTTAACCCTCTTGAAGATGAAGGTAATAAAAGATAATAGTATCAGTTACATTTTTCTAACAGTCTCCTCTTTCATTCTTTCTTACTAATTCTTATTATACACTGTCTTTAGTACAACACACTTTATGTTAAGGTTGTTATTAGAAGAATATAAAAAGGATACAATATATAAAATAAGAAGTAACTCATTCCTGTTATTTATATAGCCCAAAGTAAGATGTCAGCATACAAATTAGGAGACAAGTATTTTATGGTAGACACCAAAAATTCATTAAATTGTTGATATGAGAGAGTGTATTTAATCCAATTCATCGAGTTGACCCCAGTGTTGTCCCACTTAGGAACTGGCTCTTTTGCCATACATAAAACAAGGCACCACAGTATCAGTGAACCACTTTCATCAACAGTGGTTTTGTATCCCTCGAAGGAGGAATGACCATGGCAGAACAAGCTGATGAGTGTCTTGGAAAAGAGTGAGACCACTGAGACCATGGAAAGTATCTCAACAGAAGGCCTATATATACCTTGTAATAGTTTTATTTTAGATAGATAATATAAATGTTCACAAGCAGAATATTCATTTTAATGATCTGTTCCCTCTTTTGTAAAAGTAATAATGTTTGATGATCTTCTGATCTGTAATTTTGGGCTCATTTATTCAGCATACATTCACTTTGTGCCCCATCTGTCCTGGGCAGATTGTGGCATTGTGGACAGTGGCAGTGACACAGAGGACTGTATCTCATTGGTTCAGATATTGTTTTGAATCATCAAATAAATGATAACTAGATATTTGCATTGTTCAGTAGTCACTAGGGTCTTAAATAATTTCTATTACTTTTCTTTATAAAGAATTAAGACCATTATGTTAAATTGCATATGTTAATTAAAAAAATATGCAAATGTTTTCCCTTTCAGATGACTGCCAAACTAAAAAACGTTCTTCTTCTGTAAACTCTAAGGTAATTACCAATTCACTTAACAAATGTCTATCAAACATTACAGATGAGATGATTTTAAAATATTTTTTGAAGTAACATGGCTTTAAATGTAAATCATAAAGCAACAATGATTTTAGGTCATATATGTTATATGCATGTGTGTGTTTATGTTTATATATATATGCTTTTATACTTCTTGCAATATTTGTATGTAACAAGGCTTCCCAGGTGGTCACTTGGTAAAGAACCCACTGTCACTGCAGGACACTCAAAAGACACCAGTTCCATCCCTGAAAGATCCCCTGGAGTAGGAAAATGGCAACCCACTCCAGTATTCTTGCCTAGAAAATTCCATGGACAGAGGAGCCCGGTGGGCTATAGCCCATAAGGTCGCAAAGAGTCAGACACGACTGAGCAGGCATGTGCACTAAGTTTGCCTGCAGTGAGAAGAAAGTCAGTGTAACAATAGTTTTTCTTTCATGTGAAACCAGAATTGGGAATAAGCAGTCTAAAAGTGGCAGAGCAGCTTCACAAAATCTCTAGGGCCCAGTCGCCTTCTCTCTTACTGAATCATCACCCTCAGAGCTTTGCTTCCATGTCATGATCAGCTTTGGCAGTTCTGAGTACCGAGTCCTGGTCATTACTAAATATGTCGAGCCATATTCCAGGAAAAAAGAACAAGAGAAACAGGTGTTCTCTCTCTCTCTGAAGACACTCCCTAGAAGTCCCAGATAACACTTCCTTTTTCATTTTTGCTTGGAAACAAGATGAAAACAGAGCTTTTATTCTGGAGGCTGTATATGTAACTGAAAATCAAGAGGTCTGTTACTAAAAAAAGGAGGGGGGGGTTGGAAAATGGGCTATTGAAAGTCAACCAGCAGTTTTTATCCTTTTAAAAATCAGATTTTCACAGAATTTTTGAACAAGTGAGTTTAAAAATCATTCCCTCTAAATTTATCTTATTCACAGATGAACAAAATCACTTTCACAGAAATTATATGTTTAGTTATGATCCTGTAGTAATAGAACCATGATTAGAATCCAGATTCCTGGACCACAGTTTGATATGCTTGATGTTCAGCTAACCTATAAAATTAAATTAGGGATGATGGTTTAAGAAAAGAATTCACATAAAAATTCTCATTTATTTCCTACATTCAGCATATTTTCATTTCCTGTAGTCCCACTTATTTCAACTTTAAAAGCCATAAAATATGACATAACATTTTCCTGTATAAATCTCAAGGCTAAGGTATAAACAACATCCATTCATTAAAATGTCATACTTATCCTTAAATATGTTAAATGGAAAAAAATGAAACCATGAAAAAAGAAAGCTCTTAAATAGAAGCATATTTATCTCCTCTTGATTTGGGGAAAATTTTCCAAGCATAAAAGAAATGGCAGCAAAAGTGAGGAAAAGATGAAAAGATTTGGCTGCATTAACAATAAAAAAAGTTTTTTGCCAAGAAGTATCTTTAGTAACATAAATATGGGCAAAAATCATAAACAGGTGGTTCTCAGATCAGATACATAGCTGTTCAACATAGAAAAACAGTGTTCAGTGTTACTATAAACCTAAACAGAAAACCTTGTATACCTTACTTGGCTGGCAAAAATTATTCAGTGTTGGAGAAGGTGGAATATAAATTGGCAGAATATTTCTGGAAGGAAATTTGGCCATAACAAAAACCTTGAAAATATGTCTCCTGTTTAACTCAGCAATGGTCAAGTACATGGATGTGTACATACAAGAATATCCATCAGTGTTTCATACAAGGATAAAATATTTTGAATTTTCTAAATGCACATTTCCTCCCTCTGGGTAGCCATCTTCTCTTCGAAGAGTGACCATTGCCTCTTTGCCTAGAAATATTGGAAATGCAGGAATGGTAAGCAAATTCCTAAGTGTTCTTAGTCAGAAGCAAATTAATTTTTATATCACCAAAAAAAACTTCACTAAATTTGTATTTTATTATTTCCTTAATGTCTGAACTTTAAAGTTGGCTGGGATGGAAAATAATGACCGATTCAGTAGGAGGTCAAGCAGTTGGTAAGTGTAATTTTATGATGTCCTGACATGACTGGGGAACAAATAGTGGGCATCACTTTTATTCTGTGGAGTTCACTGCTGCAGCATCAAAAAGACCATTCATTGTATAAGACTTTTATGAAAATAAAGCACTATGTAAATGTTACTTATGAGGACATTCACTCAGTACTGCAAGCTGTGAGGTCTTAAGTTAGAAAAGAACCTGAAATTTGCCAGATTTGTGAAGATAAATCTTTTTCCTGTATAGGTATATTGTCATCAGGGGGGAAGGTTCATACAGAGCCATAGAAATAAAATGTTCATCAACTTAAATGAATTATATACAACATGTGTGTGTGTATGTGTACATATAGACATAATGTATATGTTTATATTTATATATATCCTATAGGCACATATGTAAAATATGTGCATTACATATACATCTGTCTTCTCTTTAGGTAAATGAAGAGTAGGAAAAACAAAACTCTACATTGCTATCTCTATATTTAGCAAGTGAAACAAATAAAACATACTTCTATAGTGAAAGGTAGAAGGTAAGAGGGAGGAACATAAAGAAATGCTGCCTCTAAAATCCTTGGTGACATTTGGTCTCAGTTTCCTCATCTGTAAAGATCTTAATGAAATGATTTTATGTTGGTTGTATACATGTTCCTTGCATGCCTATTATATTAGGCACACCATGCTCAAGCTTAAGGGATATGAAGAAAAAGACATTTTTCTACCCTTAAAGCCCTTTTTTCTCCCTTAAACAATTGTGGAAGCCTAATTGCATGGTTTGAATTCCCTTTTATTAAAGATTTAGAATTAACATAATGGATATTTTCTGCTCTGGGTTTTAAAAAAATCAAGAGTTTCCTTGAAAAAAAGTTATCTCTTTTAAAATTTTTGTTTGTATGGCATGATTTCTACTGAGAAGTTTTTGCAAACAAAAGACTGAAACCTTGAGAATCCTATAGGAATTCTGGGCTGGGGGTCTTGTGTTCTTTAAAAACCAAACTAAAATCTACCACAGGCATTCCCCATAAATGTCTGACTGAAAAACAAAAACTTTGACATGCAGTTCATTTTGGCCACTGCGGGGGATAATGAACTTGGGATTTCAAAATTTAAATCTAACTAGGGACTCATGAGTGGTCCTGAAACATGGAACATGAACAATGAAACAGCTAAGTTTTTTTCAGGCAAAGGATTTCTCTTTAAATAATATGATTTCAATACAGTCAACCCAATTGCAACTTCCCAGTTCATTGAATACTATTGATTTTAAGTATTTTATACCAAACCTATCTTCATAAACACTTTTTAAATTATGAAGGTTTTTTAAAGACAGAAGTGACACTTTAATGCTATTCCAATTTAGTGTTGCTCAAAAAACCAACAGAAAAGATTAATTTTAATTAATTGTTAATACACAGTGTTAAAAAAATGTGATAAAAGAATACTTGAGAAAAATTTTACTGTATGTTGAATGAAAAATTCACAGAAGAAATAATGGCATCCACATTTGTTTTTTAAGGTGTAGTTACTTATACATACACATACACACACGCATGCACATGCAAAGATGGAAAATCACAGTAATAACACTGGTTAATTACAATTGGTGAGCACTGACTAACTTACACATGTTCTTTGTAAATCTCCCCTTTTAATTTGTTCTTTGGCTAGCACCCAAACTTTCTACAACAAACATTTGCTATTTTTCTAAATACAAAGTTACTTAAAAAATTTAAATTCCTATAAATTATTAAAAATATAAAGTTGGTGATTTGACTTTTAGAATTAGGTATTTATCAAATCTTCCTAAAGCAAAATAAATATCTGCAAGCTTCCTTACAAAATACAGTAAAACTTAGCAATACTTTGTAAATAATTATAGAACACTGTCCATACTTTAATACTTAGACACAATACTTATTTACAGAACTAAAGATGACTTAGAACCACCTGAAGAAGAAACAGTAGAAAAGACAAGAAAGTCAAGTCTTTCTGAAAAGAAAACTAATCCATCAAAATGGAATGTCTCTTCAATGTAAGTTATTTACTTGCTAAATGATATCATTTTGGTGGAATGTGGAAAGGTAAGGCAGGGTTAGAAGGATTGATCTTTTTCATTATTTTTGCCTCTTAAAAATTTATTTATTTTTGGTTGCATTGGGTCTTCATTGCTGTGTGCAGGCTTTCTGTAGTTGTGGCCATTGGGGCCTTTCCATTGCATTGCACAGGCTTCTCATTGCAGTGCTTCTCTCGCTGTGGAACACGGCCTCTAGGTACACAGGCTTCAGTAGGTGCAGCTCATGGGCTCGAGAGTGCAGGCTCAGTAGTTGTGGTTCTTTGTTGCTCCATGGCATGTGGGATCTTCCTGGACCAGGGATCGAGTCCGTGTCCCTGCGTTGGCAGGTGGATTCTTTACCACTGGCCCACCAGGGAAGTCTAGCAGCATTAATCTTAATCAAATTACTTTACTAAAAGATCTTTGAAAATGTTAAATTTAAGATGAATAATAACAAACTTCATACAGTCTACAAGAATTATTCCTGAACCTATGAGCTACAGGAGGCAGGGGAGTTCACAGTGTAAGGAACTTGGCCTTGGGACCAAATGGCTGAAATAGCTCCCTAACTAGCTGTGTGACCTGGGCAAGTTCATCTGTTTTTGACCATCAACTTCTTCATCTATAAAGCAGGAATGATAATAGTACTTATGTCATTGTTTCGCTATCATGATTAAATGAAAATTCAGCACATGTAAAATGCTTAGTACAGTACCTAACACATAGTTAACTATTTTCAAAGACTTATATGATGCTGTAATAAGGTTTTTTTGGTGGATGTTTCTAAAAGGAAGAGTTTACATTTCAGTACACCAAAAGTCCAGGGTATGATGAGGAATAAGTGACATGCTTTTAAGTACATACACATAAATCATGCTCAACCTGATAAATAACTTTGTTGTTTCTACCCTAGGAATATAAATTGCCTTACCTGACTTAAAGAATGAAATTAGTACTCAAATGTACTGGTTAGGAGTTAAATAATGCCTAAGTCACATAATTTTCAGATTTCTATCCTAGCACCTCATTTCTTCAATTCTAAAAAATTATAAGGGATAGCAGGGAGCAGATCGTGGCCAAGCCCAAGACAACAGATGACATTGTGTAGCTTATTACAAGGAGGTGTCAGTGGTAAAGAATATGCTTGCCAATGCAGGAGACGTGGATTTGATCACTGCGTCAGGAAGATCCCATGGAGTGGGAAATGGCAACCCACTCCAGTATTCTTGCCTGGGGAATCCCATGGACAAAGGAGCCTGGTGGGCTATTGTCTGTGGTTGCAGAGTCAGAAATGACTGAGCACACGTGTACGTTGGTGGGATTATGTACGGTAGATACATGACTTGATTATTGTTGGCAAAAGGAATGTTTCTAGTATACAGAAGATTGTGATTACTGCATACTGATTTTGTGTTTTTGTTGTAGTTATGACACATTAGCTTCCTGGGCAACAAACCTCAAGACTTCCATCAGAGAGGCCAACAAGGCGCTCTGGCTTTCTGTGGCATTCATTGTACTGTTTGCAGCGCTGATGAGCTTCTTCACAGGCCGATTTTTCCAGAAGCCCGTGGACGCTGCCCCCACACAGGATGGGGACCCCTGGATGTCTCTAGAACACATCTTGTGGCCATTCACCAGACTCCGACACAACGGGCCCCCGCCAGTGTGACTGCAGCACATCCTAATGTGTGTATCTTGATTTTTAAAGTTTCAGTATCTGAACTTTGTACATTAGTAACTTTTAGCTGGGAAATTACAGAATGGAACCAGAGGTTCTCAGAATGACTGTAAGATATTTTATATTCCCTCTTTTTGTGATTACCTTCCTAACTAAAATGCAGTGGGGAGGAAGCCTACTTATATGATTTTTTAATGAGCTTTCTGAGGAGGAGATATTATTGTTTGTTAAAATTTATTGAAATAAAGAACCATTCAAATCTATGAACAGTGAACATTGGTCGTCTCAGTAGGTCAAGTACAAGAGGAAAAAAAAACACCTAATCTTAAGAAATAAAATTTGAGTATAAAATGCTGATTAGATCATTTGAACAGCCTGTTTGAAATATATTCACTCATTACACTTTATTGAAGAAATACCTGATGTTTCTCCCAGTTGCTTGATTCTTCATACTGGATAAAATTTATCCCTGGGGATTTAAGAATAGCTGAGTAGCCTAGTTGAGAGTAGCATGTGGCAGACAGAGTCAACAAACTGGCAGTTGGAACGCCTGACTTCCCTCATTGCTTCCTGAGAAGCAAAATCCTTAACCATGTGATATAAAGTGGAATGAAATTCAGTTTCTTCTTTAAGGGCTTCAGAAAATGCATCACTGGATTCATTGATCTTGAGACTTTGTGCCCTGTCACCACTAAACATTAAAAGGGTCCAGTTAGGATTTTGAATGGATTCTTCTTTAAGAAGGTGTTCCCTCACCTTTAAAAAAAAAGAGAGAAAAAATTAGAGAAATCTGTTCATAGTTCCTCTTTTATTAGGTATTTTGACAGTTGAGTATGTTACTTTGTTGTTGTTGTTGAGGGGCTAAGTCATGCCCAGCTATTCATAACCCAGTAACTCCAGCACGCCAGGCTTCCCTGTCCTTCACCATCTCCTGAAGCTTGCTCAAACTCATGTCCACTGAATCAGTGATGGCATCCAAGCATCTCATCCTCTATCACTCCCTTCTCCTTCTCTTCTAAATCTTTCCCAGCATCAGGGTCTTTTCTAATGAGTCAGCTCTTCGCATCAGGTGACCAAAGTTTTTCCATACAATGGTCACAAAAATTGTGAACAATTTTTTTGGCCAACCCAATATTTGAAGGGCTTGAGTTCCCCAAATTGCTAAGATAAAAAGAAACATTCTTAATGTCCCATTTTTTTTAAAAGCATGAAACTGTTTATATATTAGTGTTTATGGAGCTTATCAAAATATATTCTTTAAAAAATATTTATTGAATGCCTTCAAGTGACAAGTATTGTTTCAGGTCCTGGGGATATAACAACAACAAAAAATAAAAAATAACCAAACATTAATAAATAACAATCACAACAATAAAACCTTGTCTTCGAGGAGCTTGTATTCTAATGGAAGAAACGCACAGTGAACAAGATAAATAAATATGGTAGCTCATTTATGCTAAAATATTCATCAGTCAGCTTGCAAAATCTGATAACTTCTTTAGCAGACTGTAGGAAATGTGCCCAGAAGGTTACTCTCAGAGGAGAAAGTTCATGAATCATAGACATATTCACGTGAAAGGCTTACATTTGTTCTTCAGTTGATGTAAAGAGGTCCCTAGCCTAAAATCAAGAGTATTTGATACCATAATGGACAACGAAGGCATGACCTTTACATGGTTTGGTTTTATATTTTTGGCAAAATGAAAGAAAATGGAGTTTGCCAACTCCGTTTTGAATTTTAATTTTTTTACCTTTTTAAAAGGAGAAAATATGGTCTACATTCATTTAGTTTTTGAGTACTTTATCTTCTTTTGGAAGCCAAAAGTTTAAGGGGTTTTGCATACTATACCTGAAATATAGTTTTCTTAGAATCACATACTGTATTCCACTTACTCCAACAAAATGCAAAAGCAGAACTTAACAGGGCCATTTGCCGATAAGCTTTCACTTCTACCGAAGGATGCTGTCAGTGTAAAAACAAATAAGGTTGATCACAGAGCCTCTCAAGTCTCCCTTCCATCCTTGACCTCCTACAGTCTAGTCTGTTCTCAACCCAGATCCATTTAAAATGTAAGTCACATGAGGTAAGTCAGAGAAAGATAAATATCATATATCACTTATCAACAGAATCTAAAAAAATGGGACAAATGAACTAATTTATAAAACAGAAATAGAGTCACAGATATTTAAACAAACATGGTTACCAAGGAGGAGAGGTAGGGGACGGATGAATTGGGAGGTTGGGATTGACATATACACAGTACTACATATAAAATAGTCCATGGAATTCTCTGGGCCAGAATACTGGAGTGGGTAGCCTTTCCCTTCTCCAGGGCATCTTTCCAACCCAGGGATCGAACCCAGGTTTCCCACATTGCGGGCAGATTCTTTACCAGCTGAGCCACCGGGGGAGGCCACATGGGCTTCCCCCGGTGGCTCAGACGGTAAAGCGTCCGCCTGCAGTGCAGGAGACCTGTGTTCGATCCCTGGGTTGGGAAGATCCCCTGGAAAAGGAAGTGGCAACCCACTCCAGTACTCTTGGCTAGAAAATTCCACGGATGGAGGAGCCTTGTGGGCTACAGTCCATGGGGTCACAAAGAGTCGGACATGACTGAGCAACTTCACTTTCACGTATAAAATAGACAACTAATAAAGACCTGCTGTATAGCACAGGGCACTCTACGCAATACTCTGTAATGACCTATATGGGAAAAGAATCTGAAAAGAGTGGGTTTATGTATATGTATGTATGACTGACTCACACTGCTATACAACAGAAACTAACACAACATTGTAGATCAACTATACTTCAATTTAAAAAAAATTTTAAAGAAAAAAAATAAACTTCAAGTATAAAAAATAAGTCAGACTCATGACTTCTTTCTCAAAATGGGGCAATGGCTCCCCCTTTCAGAGCAAAACCCAGGGTTCTAACGGCGCTCCCCAGGGCCTCTGTGCTCTTATAGCCCCCACTGTTGTTCAGTCTCTCAGTTGTGTCCAACTCTTTGCAACCCCATCATTGCAACCCCAGTATGCCGGGCTCCCCTGTCCTTCACCATCTCCTGGATTTTGCTCAAACTCATGTCCATTGAGTCGATGATACCATCCAACCGTCTCATCTTCTGTTGTCCCCTTCTCCTCCTGCCCTCAGTCTTTCCCAGCATCAGGGTCGTTTTCAATTAGTTGGCTGTTCACATTCCCTATACACACCATTCTCTCTCTGACTTTATCCCCTATTCTTTTCCCTTTTCTCTGGGTGCTCCAGCCTCCTTGCTGCTCCATTCTTATTGCTGGTCCTCCTATCCTCAGATACATCAGGCCACACCCTCTGGACTCTTTCCCCCCACCACCCTTCCACTGTTCTCTCCAGCTGGAAGCTGATATCCTTCCAGAGACGGCAACTTGGCTAAATTCCCCACCCTGAAGCTATCCTCAAATATTACCTTCTTATTGAGCACCCCTCCCCCTACACCATATTTGATATTGTACCTTTTCTTTCTTTCATATGATTTATTATGTTTGTTGCTGATGTTTGCCTTCCTCTATTCTAGAATGTAAGCTCCACCAGGGCAGAGACCTTTGTTTTATTCACTAATGTTTCCTATGCATCTAAAACAATGTCTGGAATATAAGTGTTCAGAAAAAAATTCTTGAATACAATATTCTGAAAAGATGACTAGTATATGACATTCAGCATTTGTAGAGTAACTAGAAACTTGAGTTACTAAAACTGAAGTGGGATCTTTTCGGCTATGCATATATGTATACACTCTTATAATGTGATTATTTCCAGTATGTGTCTACCCATATTGTCATTTTCTGGTATATGATAAACTTGTTCTTGAGTTTATAATTATTCTGCCCAAAACACCTTTCATGATTAGAAGTCACTCTGTCTTCATTTATGTATCATGAATGTTTGACAAACATCTACTGTATTCTGGGAATAGGGTTGGTGCTAGAAGAATCAAAGTTGATTAAGGAATGGTCACCACCCTCAAGGAGCTCAGAGTTTAACATGGAAGGATCTCATCTAACTCAACTTATGAATTACATGAAGCAATATGCAGACAGGAAGGCTCCGTGAAGTAGAAGGAAGTGGGTTTTAAGGATCAGTGGTCCTTATATGCATTTAATTTCACCTGATTTATCACTTTGGGAAACTGCTGAGTCATTTACTCTTTTCAGAAATCTTCCATATATGCACTCTGGAAGAAGAAAGCAAGCATACAAAATGGGATGTAGCCCAAACTACCTTTGCACTAAACTGAACAGCTGTGGTTATGCCCCATGTGTCAATATGAAGATCGTTCTACGGAATATTAAATTTGAGAGAACCCTAGATTTCTCAGTTTAGTTCAATCGCTCAGTCATGTCTGACTCTTTGCGACCCCATGGACTGCAGCATGCCAGGCTTCCTTGTCCATCACCAATTCCCGGAACTTGCTCAAACTCATGCCCATCGAGTCGGTGATGCCATCCAACCATCTCATCCTCTGTCGCCCCCTTCTCCTCCTGCCTTCAATCTTCCCCAGCATCAGGGTCTTTTCAAATGAGTCAGTTTTTTGCATCACGTGGCCAAAGTACTGGAGTTTCAGCTTCAGCATCAGTCCTTCCAATGAATATTCAGGACTGATTTCCTTTAGGATTGACTGGTTTGATCTCCTTGCAGTCCACGGGACTCTCCAAGAGTCTTCTCCAACACCACAGTTCAAAAGCATCAATTCTTCAGCACAGCTTTCTTTATAGTCCAACTCTCATCCATACATGACTACTGGAAAAACCACAGCCTTGACCTGATGGACCTTTGTCAGCCAAGTAATGTCTCTGCTTTTTAACATGCTGTCTAGGTTGCTCATAGCTTTTCTTCCAAGGAGCAAGTGTCTTTTAATTTCATGGTTGCAGTCACCATCTGCAGTGATTTTCAAGCCCAAGAAAAGAAAGTCTCTCACTGTTTCCATTGTTTCCCCATCTATTTGCCATGAAATGATGGGACTGGTTGCCATGATCTTAATTTGAGTTTTAAGCCAGCTTTTTCACCAGAAATCACTGGATTTCTAGTCTTTTTATTTATTCCTTCCTTTCTTCTAAGTATAATCTCATATAAATGAATATAGAAAACTCATTGGTATACCTTAAGATTTACATAAAATGTAATACTTGCTAACATTCTCAATGTCCATCACATTCAACTTGGAAGGATTCATTCTTACCTTATAGTTTATAACAACATAAAGATGAGAGTGTCCAGTAGGGAAGATAT